GTTGGCCGAGCGTGACCAGTGCCACGATGTTGTGACCATCACTTGGAACAAGTGCGACTTTGTGTCCGAAGATTGCGTGATCCTGACCAGCGAACCAAAGACAGCAAAGCAAGGGTTCCTCCACTGAACAACATTTTAAGAAATCCATTGCCGCTCTCCAAGTCTTAGACACCATTTAGCACGAATTAAATTTTTAAAGTAGTAAAAATAGTTACAGTTGTTGGCTGGTTCAGCACTGCAGCCATGAGGATGTTTGTGAGAAACTTTGTGGTGATCTCTCCGAATAAGCCTGTGGCGAAAAAATTGGAACCTGGCGGACTCAAAATTTACAGACTGGTGTCGTCCTCAGCATCACATTAATTTATTCTGCATGAAACTAAAAAAAGAGCTCAGTTTGTGCGCGACCATATTCCGAGGTGAATGTGATTGCTCGCAAGTTTCTAGTCCAAGTGGAGGAGCTCATGGTGATCAATCGGACCACTATGTCGCTGGATTCCAGCCCCGTGTTCGTGCCTCCCAACATACTCTTCATCTGTCCTGAAAAATTTCACTTGTTGGTTGAGCACGGCAACAGTTGACTGGTGTAGCTGTGGACGGGGGAAATTTCACAGCCTACGGTTTCCAAAGCGAAAACCGTATGTCAGGGGGGTCAAACATTTAGATGGGGCACAACTTGCCGAGCCATCGCATTTGCTTACCGCTGGGATGAGAACAGTGGGTTCTGTCTGCACTTAGCTATTATTTCAAAACGGGTTATCTGAGTCGGTGGCTTGCTGACCACTCACTATTATATGTCAATTTTTTGTTTGTTTCCTCAGGCCGGCTTGCTGGCCATGAGCCCCTTTGAAATGAGTAGGTCTGATGTATGCATTTATCTTGATTTTGGTAATCATTATTTCCAACTTTTATTATAGTATCTTTTGGCCCTTTGGTGCTTTCCGTTTGCCGAAGCCGGTCCATTTTGTGCTTGTTGAATACAATGTTCCTAAGTTTCCCAAAAAAGAATCTTGGTGCACTGATTTCTCCTGATATGTTAGGTTTTTGAGGCTGGCTTGCTGGCCAAATAAAGATTTCACAGTAAGGAGACACCGCACCTCCACATTGTGCCTTTTGTTCCGCAAGATACAGTGGCTACCTTCCTGGACAGACCAGCCTGCCTGCTTCCATGTGATGGCCACTTCTGATGATGATCTAGATCTGGCTGAATCTGAAGCTGATCCAGCTGTCCCTTTTGATCACGGCAGCCATCTTCATCCGAATCCGCAATGGCCCGTCTATCCTAAGCCTATTGGACCAGCTCCCAAGCCTCCACCGCCCGCGCTGCTGCCTATGCCGCGTACAGCTAATGCTCTGTGCGATTTTTGTGTGTCCCGTCTTCCTGGGAAATCCTACATGACGCTGGACCTCCGGTCTACAGCGGCTACGGCTATCAGTCAGATCATGCTCCTTGTGCAAAGCCACGATGATAGCTTCATGCTGGAATACAACAGGAAGGAGGAGTTTGCAGACTGCGTGCGCCTGGAAGGTGGGGGTAACCCACCCGGCCAGACACGAACCACAATGTTCCCAGGTCAATATTGTCATTTATTATTTTGGCTGCAGCTTCCTTTGAGACATCATCAAAATCAATATTCTATCATTTTCCTGAATCAGTAGCATCCACCAGTCTGTAGTACTCTGTAATGTAATATTGTCATTTTGAGGCTCCTGGTGCTGAACTATATGCTGAAGATCGGTCAGGGTACTATTCCGACCGCTGCAGCTGAGAAGAAGAATCTTCCTGCCCCTGTGTCTAGTTTGAAATTCATTGCTAAGTTTTTTTGTTTCTGAAGGCATGCTTCCTGTCCAAGGTAATGGTTCGCGCACGTCACCTCCAGTTGCAGTGTGAGGACTTACACGTCCACCTAGACAGAGAGATGAGGCTCCTAGATCCACCACGGTTCACAACGCCCAATCACCTGTACGTCTGCCAGGAGAAATTTGAATGTTTAGTGAAGGGTGTACCTTCGGTCCACCGGTGAAATAATGAGACAGACTTTACGCGGGTGCCAAAGGTCACGGTCGCTCCTTCAGCTGACTGACGTTTCGCCGTGTGTGATTTTTCCGCTCTTTTTCGGAGACCTTATATTGGCCTGGGGACGGGTGTTTGGCAGCAAACCGACATGCATGAAGCTTCCTGAGGCTGGCTTGCTGGCCAAGACACTTATATCATTGTCAAGCTGGCTCGCTGGCTGATTCTGTCGCGACGAACTTTTTTCACACGGTTTAGGACTGTTACACCTAAAACAGATGCGTAAACTATGCATAGCAGGGCCCAACTGGAGCATAATATTCCTAGTTTATTCAGGTGTAACAGATGCGTAAACTGTGCATAACAGGGTCCAACTGGAGCTAGTTAGTTTAGACGTGACAGATGCGTGAACTGTGCATAACAGGGTCCAAGTGGAGCATTCTAATTCCTAGTTTAGGCGTAACAGATGCGTAAACTGTGCATAATATAGGGTCCAACTGGAGCGGCGTAACAGATGCTTAAACTGCGCATAACAGGGTCCAAATGGAGCATTCCGAGTTTAGGCGTAGCAGATGCCAATGCGTAAACTGTGCATAACAGGGTCCAACTGGACGGAGCATTTAGGCGTAGCAGATGCGTAAACTGTGCATAACAGGGTCCAACTGGAGCATTCCTAAGGCGTAGCAGATGCGTAAACTGTGCTAACAGGGTCCAACGGCAGCATTTAGGCGTAACAGATGCTGCGCATAACAGGGTCCAACTGGAGCATTCAATAATTCCTAATTTAGGCGTAGCAGATTCGTAAATGGCATCAAACAGGGTCCAACCGGAGAATTCCAAGTTTAGGGGTAACAGAATGCGTAAACTATGCATAACAGGGCCCATATGTTTCGGCGTAACGTAACAGATAGGTAAACTGTGCATAACAGGGTCCAACTGGAGCATGCAAATTCCTTGTTTAGGCGTCACAGATGCGTAAACTGTGCATAACAGGGCAGGGTCTGGAGCATTATTAGTTTAGGCGTAACAGATGCGTAAACTGTGCATAACAGGGTCCAACTGGAGGATTCAGAGACTAGTTTATTAGGCGTAAATGCGCATAACAGGGTCCAACTGGACCATTCACCTAGTTTAGGCGTAGCAGACTGCGCATAACAGGGTCCAACTGGAGCAGTTTAGTGTAACAGATGCGTAATAACCTGCGCATAACAGGGTCCAACTGGAGCATTTAATTTCTTTAAACATTTTAACAAAATTAAAGTAGCGTTTTGATTCAGGAACGGCTGCGTTCGTCGTTTTGCTTCTAAACGCTCTACTTCGAGCTTTTCACGGACGCGCGCGCGCGCGCCGCGGAAATCCCGGGCATAGATCCCGGAAGTAGCGTTTTGCTTGTAAACGGCTCTACTTCGAGCTTCTCCAGGACGCGCGCGCGCGCTGCGGAAATCCCGGGCATAGATCCCGGAAGTAGCGTTTTGCTTCTAAACGGCTCTACTTCGTTCTCCAGGACGCGCGCGCGCGCTGCGGAAATCCCGGGCATAGATCCCGGAAGTAGCGTCTTGCTTCTAAACGGCTCTACTTCGAGCTTTTCACGGACGCGCGCGCGCGCGCCGCGGAAATCCCGGGCATAGATCCCCGAAGTAGCGTTTTGCTTCTAAACGGCTCTACTTCGAGCTTCTCCAGGACGCGCGCGCGCGCGCTGCGGAAATCCCGGGCATAGATCCCGGAAGTAGCGTTTTGCTTCTAAACGGCTCTACTTCGAGCTTCTCCAGACACGCGCGCGCTGCGGAAATCCCGGGCATAGATCCCGGAAGTAGCGTTTTGCTTCTAAACGGCTCTACTTCGAGCTTTTCACGGACGCGCGCGCGCGCGCCGCGGAAATCCCGGGCATAGATCCCGGAAGTAGCGTTTTGCTTCTAAACGACTCTACTTCGAGCTTCTCCAGGACGCGCGCGCGCGCCGCGGAAATCCTGGGCATAGATCCCGGAAGTAGCATTTTGCTTCTAAACGGCGAGCTTCTCCAGGACGCGGGCGCGCGCTGCGGAAATCCCGGGCATAGGTCCCGGAAGTAGCGTTTTGCTTCTAAACGGCTCTACTTCGAGCTTTTCACGGACGCGCGCGCGCGCGCCGCGGAAATCCCGGGCATAGATTCCGGAAGTAGCGTTTTGCTTCTAAACGGCTCTACTTCGAGCTTCTCCAGGATGCGCGCGCGCGCTGCGGAAATCCCGGGCATAGATCCCGGAAGTAGCGTTTTGCTTCTAAACGGCGTTATTCGAGACGCGCGCGCGCGCGCCGCGGAAATCCTGGGCATAGATCCCGGAAGTAGCGTTTTGCTTCTCAACGGCTCTACTGTTACTTCGAGCTTCTCAAGGCCACGCGCGCGCGCGCCGCGGACATCCCGGGAATAGATCCCGGAAGTAGCGTTTTGCTTCTAAACGGCTCTACCGCACGCGCGCTGCGGTTATTATTGTAATGCGCTGAAACATGCCCTCGATGCGCTGAAATACGATGTGTGTGTGTGTAGTATGTTGTTTGGCATGCGTAGTTCGGGCGTAACACATGCCGCGTAATAAACTCCAAAGCGTAGTTGGCATCCTTGGCGGTCGACAATTCAAAACATGAATGATTTTGGTGCTGCAAAATGCTGTGTAGCAACTTCCGATTCCATGCATGGAGTTTTGGTTCAAGCATCAGGTTATGCTCCGACAGTACTTTTTGCTCTTCAAATATCAGCATTTGGCTGATCCCAGTCGAAGGTATGAATGGCTGGCATGTTCTCAGCCAGGATTAAAAAAAGACCCATGCCCATGACTGAATTCACCAGGATTAATATAACTAACATTTCATCATTCGACGTAAATGTTCATAGCTGGTGGCACAATGATTGCAGCATCATGCGGTGGCAGAAAAAACAACTGTTTCAAATCTTCGTGTTGCGTCCATTTTTTCTCGAGCTCGTCGTCTATATAGTGCATTGGGGCAAACCTGAGCCATGGATTCTGAGGAGGAGGCCCTTCCTCCAAGCGTTTGCGAAGATAGCTGTGGCGAAGAGCTTCACTCTGATGATGCCAGCTTGCCACCTTCAGTCAATGAGGAAGAGCCCACCATTTCTTGCTGTAAACGCGGCAACTGCAGGACCAAGTTTGAGACAGATGTCTTGGTGCAATACAAAATGGATTTTGACAGATTAGCTCAAGGAGATCGCCTGCAAAAAGTTTTTGAAGCTGTCAGGGATGTTGCCAGGCAATCCGGAGAGCAGAGCGCCAGGTGTTTTCAGTGGACCTTACTAGGCCAGGCAGTGTGCCGAAAATTTTGGGAGGCAACCCACGGCATTGGCCATGGTGCCCTTGACGATATGGTGAGCCTAGCCAAAAACGGGCACAGCCAGCTTCCACCCAGAGCTCCAAGACAGGGGCGCGCAACTCCCGCCAGCAACACTCTTGATGTCTGGTTCCTAACTCTGTACCGGGACTTAGCAGAGCCACTAGCTGTTCCTGGAAGCGGCGATGCAGTGGTTGTCGAGGATGACCCCGGTGTTCCCATGCAGTGCGAAGAGTTGACTGACATCAATCACCCACTGTTCTTGAACACCATCAATGCGGATCGGCCAAACGACCATGTGAGGAGTTTGAAGGTGCCAAAGCGCTACTTGAATTTCGATTCTTTCGCTAGCCTCTTCCAATTTTACAAGCAAGACGAGGCATTGGACATGCAAGTGAGCCGCAGCACCTTCAAGAAAGGGTGGCAAAGTTGGCAAAGTTTTTTGCCTTTCAAAAATGCCGGCGCTCAAAGTAAATGCATAATCTGTGCCAGTTTGTCAGAGAGGAGAACAGCTGCAGCAGACTCCGCTGAAAGGGTCCAAATAGACAGGGAAAAGAAAAGTCACCTCGATGTTGTGATGTCAGACCGCCGAGCTGCAGAAAGAGGAGCTAAGCGTGCGGCAAAGGAGTCTGTCTTTTTGAAATCTGAAAATGATGACCAGGTGGTGAAAGTCCTGATTGATGGAATGGATCAGTCGAAGTTCGCGCTGCCGCGTGTGAAGCGCCTCGTTGGCACAAGTGCATTGTCGAAATCATGGCGACCGTGCATGCACATCAGCGGTGGCATCATCCACGGCCTCCTGGAGTGGTACGGCATCATGGCCGCGGACACACCCAAGGATGCCTCAATGAACTGCACCATTTTATCTCGGCTGCTGGATTTGACTGCATCACAGCTGACAGACCTGGGTGATGCCTACGGTTTTCCAGGGCATCTGTGCATCAGTTGTGATAATACGCCAAGAGAAGCGAAGAATTCGTTCTTTGCATCGTTTTTATCATACCTGGTGCATCGTCGACTTTTCAAATCTGTGCAATGCGAATTTCTCCAAGTGGATCACACGCATAATGAGCTGGATCAGCGCTTTAGCAGCTTAGCTTCACTCATCAAGTCAGCGGACTGCTTGCAGGACCCTGATGATTTGTGTGCATGGATGACCAATCACATGAAGGCATCCTGCGGCCGCTCCTTGAAGATTGAGGCTGTGACAAACACATGGAACTTCAAGGATTGGATGGGCCAGGTGGGCTTGCACGTTGAAGGCTTGACCAGTACACATGTGCAGCCCTACGCCAACCACGTTTGGAGATTTGAGAGCCGTCTCTTTGTGACCGAGCATCACATTGAGTGCCACCACCCTGATTGGCAAGGCCTCGAGCAGCATCATGAAGATGTCATTCTGAGAGTCAAACAGTTTATATCATCTCCAAATTGGTCTCAGAAGCCACAGCTGTGACTTTCATAAAAAATTATCTGGCATTTTTTGTTTGTTTTCCCCATGACCTCTAATGGATTCACTTTCTGATCTTGCCCTTGTCAGTCAATTTCGGGCAATCAGGTTTTTGCCGTTCAAGCTTGCTAAAGAACGACTGGATCCATCGGCCTTGAAAGCCTCCGAGACAAATTTGATGCCAGAGAAAACGTTGCAGGAATTTTTGAAGACAGCAAATACATTTGCCCAAGACCCCTGGCAGTTGCTGAAAACTCAGGCCTGGTTGGAAAGCTTTTGCGAGCAAAATCAATGTCGGGCGTTTCCCGATCCAATTCCTTTGGTGCATATTTTCCACCCAAAGGAGTCGCTGCTGCCGCTGTCAGTGGACATTGAGGAAGTGGTTTTAGATGTTGCAGAACCTGCAGCAGACCCACCTGCACCCAGAAATGTGCGCGTGCTCCGACCCAAGCGGAAAGCCTTGAAGCGGCCATCTGCTGCTGCCTGTCAACTAGGCCGACGGGTTGTCATGCGTCGCCCTGCAGCAGCAGCGGCTGCTGCGCGTGGTCCAGCAGCTGCAGCAGCAGCAGTAGCAGACGGGGACGAAGTAGCAGCTGCAGCAGCAGCGCCAGGTCCAGTGGCGGCCCCTCCTCCAGAGCCACCTGCGAGCCCAGGTTCCCTGCATGGATGCGTTTTTTTAATTTTAAGTTAATGACTAATTTAAATTTAATGATTTGATTTTGTTCAGAGCATGACGCCTTGATCATGTGATTCTGATGTCAAAATGAGGCGATGCGGCCGCCCCAGAGGCAGTCATGCGACGCCCTGCTGCAGCAGCACCAAGCCCAGCAGCGCGACGCCATGTAGAAGAATCAGAACCAGGACCAAGGCCACGGGGCCGTGGGCAGAAACCTGAGTTGCCACATAGCTTTGATCACTTCGGTTGTTCCAAGTGCAAGAAAGCAGCGCATGGATGCGCCCGGTGTAAGAAGTTCGCAGACAACCAAGAAAAGGGATTCCAATGGCTCAATGGCAGCGTTGTGCGCAAAGTCCCACAAGACGCGGCGTGATTCCACCAAGTGCCAGCGCTTCATGGTCAAAAAATAGAATCAGGTCAGCTTGCTGACTGGATTGAAATAATTTTCACAGTGGACAAGATCATATTGAATTAAGATCTAAATTTTAAAGTCATACGCGGACACCAATTAACAAAACATTTCGAAGGCGACCATTTTTTGAGCCTGGTCTTTGTTACATTTTTTTGGTAGAGTACTATTACTGTGGGTGTGGTACTGGTAGTGGTAGTGATAGTGGTAGTGATAGTGGTGGTACTAGTAGTAGTGGTAGCAGCAGCAGCAGTAGTAGTAGTGGTAGTATTGGTGGTAATAGTAGTAATAGTAGTAGTAGTAGTAGTGGTAGTGGTAGTGGTAGTAGTAGTAGTAGTAAGTAGCAGCAGGAGTAGCAGCAGGAGTAGCAGCAGGAGTAGCAGGAGTAGCAGTGCTAATGATGATAATAGAAGTGGTAGCGTTAGTGTTAATGATCATTAATTTTTTTTGGCTGTCATTATTATTATTCTTCCGTGTGTGATTGTCTTTCTTGTTTTTAATTACTGACACCATAGTCAAGATAAAATGTTCCTGACACACTTTGAAGTCGGCTTGCTGACTTAAATTATTATAAGCTATTATATTACGCCTTTGTTTGGCAAATAGAAAAAACAATATTAAAATAGGCTGCGGCCGGGGAAGAGTCAATCCCAAAAGCTGAGAGCTGCCGCAGGCATTATTTTCTTTCTGACCACCTGAAATGAAGCGCGTGTGACACTTAATTAACTAACAATTAGCAGAGACAGGAGGCCAGTCAGTCAGTTTCAAGACCGTCAGGAACAAACATACCACGATCAAAAATCAATAATAACAATAATAGTAGTAGTAATAATAATAGTAATACAAATTCATGGTCAGCATGTCCGGCCCGTCATTGCCATCAGATGTTGAGCTGTCATCATCGTGCTGCAGCTTGCCACCTGAGATAGACGAGAGCCAGGAGCTGCTGATGGACGACCGCCAAGTTTCGGATTCGGATGCTGAGACATTGCCCGAAAGCGTCACCGATTCCATAGACGAATTGCCACCTGTACCTTCAGCAGAATCAGATATCGACATGGAAGATTGTCCTAGCCCTAGAGCTGCTTTGACAACTAAGGCAAAAGTGCCGTCTCCAGAGGAGATCCGCCAATGGCTGCGCACGGGAACAAGCAAAGCAGCCGCAAACTTGACTTTGGGTCTCGAACTTTACAGTCCTCCAAGGGTGTTGACAGCACGGGCAGCAAGGAGTTGCGCTTTGAGTGTCGTCATGACTCTCGGTTTTCTGTCCCTCGACATCTTGACAGGATGGAATTTTGACCTTCCGGAACTGAAAGATTTGAGTTGCCAAATTCTGCAGGGAATTACAGTGGCATTTTTGTACCTGAGCCCTCCATGCACAATGTTCAGCTCTCTGCAAACTATGTGGAACAAGCATCGGATGAGCCAAGCTGTGTGGGACCGCCGGTGGCAACAAGCAGTCGACTGGGTCGAGCACTGTATGCGGGCCATTCGGATTCAAGTGGCGAAAGGCCAACGATTCATGTTTGAGCACCCAGCAAGAGCCACCTCGTGGAAGCTTCCCTGCGTTGAAGAAATCAAGAACCTGCCAAATGTCCGCTGCATATCTTTCGACATGTGTGCTTTTGGCATGACAAGTCCCATGCTGGAACCCATCAAGAAGAGGACCATCATCATGACAAATGATCCTCGGCTCTGTGGCTTGCTCAAAAACCGGCAGTGCACAAGAGATCATGTGCATCGACGCATAGAAGGAAGCCAGCTGGGTCATCGCTTGAGCCGCTGGTGTCAAGTTTATCCGCCGGCTCTCTGTGATGTTTTAGCTTCTTGCCTTCACCCGGAAGCGGTTAATTCGATGTCACGAAATGATGATAGTAGGTGGCAGCCCTTGACAGTGTGAGCCAAAATCCGCAGCGCTATTTATTAATAAGGCGGGCTTGCTCGCCATCATGGTTCGCGTATTTGGTCATCGTTCACTGTAAGTCAGTCATTTGCCGGAATATTTTTGTTCAGCTTCCTCGTCAGTCAGTTACAGCTACATGTTACACTCAGCTCAGTTCGGATCCTCACACCGTTCTGAAGTGCACCTTAGCATATTTCAACGTTAAACCTGTCTAACCTGCAACACGGCAACGCGCTGTCCGAGATGCGAGATTTTTTCATTCATTCGGAAATGTCGTATCTGACCGACTGGTAGGAACTATTATAATGAGGCTAGCTAGCTGGCCGATGTGTTTCCTCAGCGGCCCAATTTGCTGTTTTTGACTTTTGAGGGGCCTACTGCTTAGACTGAATCCAAAAAACATGTTGTATGTTATGTGATTATAGGTTTGACCACCCGCTTTGGAAGTCCATTGTCTACTTTATTATGTGGAGCACTCTGATGCCACATTTTGCATGTGGAAATCGATTGGAAAGCAGGGCAGTTTTCTATCAGAAATCATAATTTTTCCCATTGATATCGGTGATTTGGTTGGCAACTTCGTGTTTGGTAATGGTACTTACTACTTTGCTGGCCCGTCACCAGGCCAGTCGCTATGCCCTAGCCTGCTGCCTCTGCCAAATTTTTTCCCCCCTCCAATTTGTCCCAATTTTTTGTCCGATTTTTCAAAATCGCGCCAACAGGGGGGGGTGATTTTACAACCCTGAGTTGGATCAGTTTCCACGGAAGCCGCGCCATATCAGGGGTCTAAGGCCGAATCGCGCCATCTGGGGGGGTCAAATTTCCAACCCCGAGTTGGCAGGATTCATCCGTTTGACCCCTAGTTGCCTCAGCTTCCACGGAAGCCGCGCCAACTGGGGGGTAGGATTTTGGGGGGGTCAGTTGGCAGACTTTTGAAATTTTCAGGACAGAGGGTCCCTCAAAATGCCCGAGTTGGCACAGCTTCCACGGAAGCGGCGCCAAAATGCCTAGCCGCGTTTCCCCCCATCCCAATGTTTGTCACAGTCATTTTTAAAATCGCGCCAAATCTTGACTCAGGTGTTCATTCTTCGCTTGCCGTTGGCACATAATGCCCCATTGCCCACCAAACAGATTCAGATTCAGATAACATTCTGTGGGCCAAAAGTCTGAGAGTCTGACAGCGTCTAGAGTCAGTCTATACTATTGTTTTGAATTTTGGTTGTGGAATTTTGAAGCCCGGCGATTGGCCACGGCAGCTATTAGGTCTGAAAATCAGAGCGGTTTAGCACCATTTTGGCATTAAGTGACTGACTGTCTTGGACCTTAAACCTGACACAATCGCATTCTAAGATTTGCCAAGATACGATTTCGAACAAAGAAGACATAGTGGAAATCGACAATGCCTTGTTGCTGCTGTGAGTGGCTTGCAGTTAGCAACAACTTTTTTGATTTTGACTTTTGCGTGTCATGGCTGACGAAGACATTCAGATGTCTGTTGCAGCAGTTACTCCGACCATCGCTGGAGTGACTTGCGAATCAGAAGATGTCAAGAATCAGCTGTTGGCTTCCATGGAGCAGGCCCTGCATCACTTTGGTGGCCCGAGCCAGTACTTGACCAAGGTGCTGGAGACCAAAGAATCTTACCAGGATTTCGTGACTTGGTTGTGGGACGAATTCCCAGAGGCAGAAGATGCAGTCTTTAGCTACCAAGCAGCTTTGCCAACTGTGACGGAAGAAGAGGTGTCGCACAGCCTTCCTTTGATAGTCCATGTGAGTGCCTTGGGTTTCACTCAGGACTGCACCCTCAAGCCACCGTGTGGATCAGAGTTGGCTTTGCGTATGGCAGAGCTATACCTAGTGGAAGGCTTTGTGACAGGCGACCAACCTCTATATGCTATGCAGCATCCTTCTGACGTGTGCCTCTTTGATGATGTTGCACCGCCATGGTGCTATGGCCGACCCGACAAGGTGCTGAAAGCCTTCAATCTCAGTTACCTCAAAGGTTTTGGCCGATCCACAACACTGCTGATGCTCTTACACTGTGTGAGAGTTTCCGGTGTGAAATTGGCTGAGCAGCTTCCGCATTTACATGGGTCAGTCCGGAAAATTTACTTGCATTGCATTCATCAAAGCTCCCGAGTGGAGGAAGCCCTCGCCAACATGAAGATATCAGCGAGGCACTCCATTCGGACGGCTCACAACACCGTACAATCGGTGTTTGTCATCCGGAATTTGATGCGGGTTGGTGGATTGCAGGACTGGTCTTTGTTTGTGAGGCAATGGAACAGCATGTCTGCGAAATCCTTTCAGATCGCGGGTCGCCGGCACACTGCTCTGAAACTTCTCTTCGAGGTGGCACCGCAGGACGGCGGAACTGAGCATGGAGAATCGCAAACTGGATGTCATAAATCATAAGTCATAATATCCATATTGTTTTAAATTTAAAAAGATGATCACTTGACACATGATGGCTTGATCCAGCATTCCACATGTTTTCATCTTCTTGGTCCCTTTAGGATGTCCTCGACGCAATTTTGAAGCATGTCCAGACGGTTTCGTGGGATCTTTGTGCGTGGTCGGATGATTCTTTGGCATCCAAGAAACTGTATCCAAACTGGAGTTTTCCGGCCAAAGGGCAGTGGCAGAGTCGGTTGAGGAGAATGATTTTGGTGGTTTCATTTTGAGCTTGATGTTATTCATTTTTCGTGTTCAAAGCGGGCACACTTTCAAGCCCGGCAAGCACGTCGCCATAGGGAATCCTTTTGGCCGGCTTTACAAAATGGCTGACTTAAAAGTAAGACGTAATCTGTTATTATGTCAGGTAATTTTAAAGGTCAACTAGATGACATATACGTGTCACATTAAAGCTTTGCTCAGATATCAATGTCTGATGGACCTGGGCAACCGTCAGAAAACATCATCACACTTGGTGTTCGAAAGTAATTGCAAAACGTAAATGCGGGACTTAATTAATGTCCGACCATTGTCAGAAATGCGCGGTATGTCCGACAGTGGATAAAAGTGTCAGACAGACGAAATCATAATTTTTATGACTAACATTATTATATACATCAAATATGTGCCATATGGTTGGGATCACCAGGTCACCCCCAAAGAACGTGTAGACCACAGGATTGACATCTTCTGTCCAGGACAACCGAAAAGTCCATGAGCCTGTGCATCTCCCATCTACAAAACAGCCGGGTTCAGAAATTGAAGGTTGGCCAGCCAAAAAAGGCAGATGTGGACCAGGTGGAAGCAGTTTCTATGCGAGCAGCAGCTTGCTGGCATTTGGGGCAGGAGCTACTGACAACCGTTCCTGTCTGTGCTGCAAAGTTGAAAGAAAATTGGTATGACAATTTTGCCAATGGAGAGGGCCCAGTGAATGATGAGCTTCAGGCGGTTTTGCTTGATAAGCGGGCTTCTTTCAACGTTCGCACCGACATCCCGACGCTGCAGCGCTTGGCTGATGAACTGTCTTTTTCAAAGCCTGTCGGCGCCACACCGGAAGCCGAGTTGACCATTGTGGTGGATCGGTTCAACCTGCTTATCAAGCAGCTCAACTATGATGTCACCGTGTGGCAAACTTGGCGCAGCAAGTATGCATCACTGAAGGTTGCGGCTGAAGCAGCCAAATATCAGTGGCGCTTGGACCGCAGGAAGCGGTGCCAAGAAGCAGCGAGGCATTTCATCAAATCGAGCATGGCCTTCAGTGTCTGGGAGAAGAAGAAGACCGAAATGGCCATCGCAGATGTGATGAATCTCAAGAGGGCTCTGGCAGCCCGCACAGGTGCAAAGCTGGAAGACATTTCGTACGTGCTGTGGTTCAATGCATCAGCGCCTTGTTTGATTCCAACAGCTGTGATGAGCCAGCAGGTGGGACTCATGTCCTGGGCACTGTCGGACCAAATGCGCAGTGTTGGTCTGATGATGATGCCAATTTTTTCACACCACCGTGGAAAGTTGTGCATCGACGAGCGCGCCATCCTCGAGAAGATTTTCACAGCAGGAAACCATAATTGTGATTGGAGCTACCATGTTATGTTCAAGGAGAAAACGGATGCGCGTGACATTCGACCCATGGTGTATAGTGGCAAGTTCATCTTTGCAAGTCCTCTTGACTTGCAGCAGTGACTTGGCACTAAGACTAGCTTGTTTTTTCTTTTTGAAGCAGCATCGATTCTCATGGTATGCCATAACAATAATAATGATCTTAATAATAACAATAATAAAGGTAAAATAATAATAATAATAACAATAATAAGCAATAATCATAAAAATGATCATAATAATAATAATAAGAATAACAATAAGAATAATAATAATAATAATAGTAATAACAATAATAATAATCATTAGTAGCAAGGGCAATCAGTGGCAGGAACCCGCTCTATGCATGCAGGTGGCTTGCAGTTCCATTAAGGCCGGGCGTGTTTTCTATGAATCTGAAGCCGGCTTGCCGGCCGCAAATTTAAAAGCCCCATTCACTGAATTCAGGTAATGAAAGATGAGCAGCTCTTTCTCCCTGTGGCCATGGTCAGGGAGTGGCAGGACCATGGTACTTGTGGACCTGAGTTCAAAGCCTGGATGGAAACGTTCCTGTCCAAGCATGGCAAGTTGATTGACCCAGATGAAGAGAAGAAGAAGCAGGAAGAGGAAAGCAACAAACGTCCTGGCGATAATAGCTCAGGCCCTTCACCGAAGAAGCCCCGCCTCGAAGCTGCAGAAAGGGTGGGCAAAGAATATTATGTCGTGGCTGCAGACATCCAGCAGCCTCTCATCCAAGAGGTCAAATTGGAGAAAAACATGCCCACAGTGCACCTGCGTGGTGGAGACACTGCTTTTTTGGTGAACGTGTCAGGCAAGGAATGGACACTGCTTTTTTGGTGAACGTGTCAGGCAAGGAATGGACAGGAAGCCACCCTTGCATTGCTCTGTTTGGCAATGGAAGCTACAAGATTTTGAAGGAAGGTCAGGAAGCCAATGACAAAGCCATCGAACTCCAGTTCGCATCGTCTGAGGACTTAGTGATTCTCGGCGGCTCCATGCAAAAGCTGGGTCAAGTCCTGAAGGACATGAGAGAAAAGAAGCCTGATTGTCGAATTTGCTACTTTGACGTTGTCGAGGACCCCCAGTCTGTAGGTGCTTTCACGTTGAAGGCGACTCACAGGGTGATTTTCCAGAAAAAAGATGGAGAAGAAGGCCAGATTGGCAAGCACAACCTTGGCATGAAATTGCCATTCAGGTCCTCGCCTCTCCTCAAAGTTATCTGGCATGTCCGCTGGACCACGAAAGGTCTTTCCCCCGTGAAGCCTGCTTGCCACGTGATGGGCCAAGTGAACCTAGCCACGGGTGAAGCGCTGCGACTCCATTCGTCAAGTGGCTGACTGGTGACTCCAGAGGCATCATCCTAGGTTTCAAAACTTAAACTGAAGTAGAGTTAAAAAATAATGTCAGGTTCAGATTCAACCCTATTCAACATGTCTGGTTCATGGATTGTGGTCCTAGGAGGACAGTCAGACTGCAATCGCGACTGTTGGGTATTGCCGGCTGCATCCCACATTTTGTGTGTTCTCCATCTGGTCGTCAATCTTTGGTTTTTCAGCTAGTAGTTATTTGCAAAGTCACTTTAACTGTGTGATTTGAATTTGTCTTGCACCTCGAAAGTAGCATAGTCCAATGTTGTTTGGTGCAAAGACGACTGAACGAGGCAAAATCTGCCTTCCAAACACCTTGATGAACAAGGTATTATAATCTCACACTTTCCGTCAATCACCTTCATTCACTCTGAGGAGTGGCAAACTTTTGTGACTTTCTGTGTTGGGTCTACAAGGGGTCAGGGTCAAAATCGCTGCTCACTGCTCCGAAATGTTTGGCCAGTCGTGCAGATGGCAGTGGACCTGAGATGACCTGAGAGCGACCTTGGGGCTTGATGCTGGCTTGCTGGCTCGTCTATGGAATTAAGGCTGGCTTGCCGGCCGTACAAACAAAATAGACAATATAGAATTAAATTAATTAGCTGGCTTGGCAGTTTGGCAGGTATGTTCTGGGGGCTAGCTTCCTTGCCATACCTTGCTCGCTTGCAGTCAGTCTAATCGGTTCTGTGACTGTGACCGTTCACACACTGGCATCAACTTTCAGCAAGTTTTTGATAATAAGGCAGAGGTTTTGCGACATTTTTTGTGTTTTCTCCATCGGTCAACAGTCGTTATGTTTTTCTCCGTTGGTCAATAATAATCAGTGTGTCTCTGCGATTTGTTTCAAAATTGAACAGCAGAACTTATTTAGCTTGTTGTAAAGATGATCAACAAGGCAAATTCAAAATCTGCCTGCACCACACCTTGACCAACGCTCTCAGATAGGGGTTGCAAACTGCAGATCATCGGGTCAAAAGCTGCCGCACGCTGCCCTGCTGCTAGCCAGAACAGTGAGACTCTCAGATTCATGTCAATCCGATGACAGCGGGCCTCAGAGTCTGACCTTGAGGCTTGAAGCTGGCTTGTCGGCTCGTTTTTTTAAATCAGGATGGGGTTTTAAGGCTGGCTTGCCGGCCGCGATTTCAATATAATAAAGCTATTTTGGCACTAGCTCACTGGCTTCAAATCTGCTTGAAAACTGGCATCAACTTCTGGCCGAATCACCATCAATCATATGAGATGAGATTTGGATCCCGGCGTGAATCCATTTTTTGCTGTCCATACATGTCACCAATGTCGTCCAAACTGTCAGACCATTGATGGCAGTCATTTTTGGTTTTAGTTTGCTGGCCATCCAGTAAGGAATTCTGGATATGATATAACCCTAATTACTCATGCCCATGAACGATCCTGGTCCAATGGTCCGCCCAAGACGGCCTCTTGGACAGCGCCCCTCACAAACAAATTCATCGCAAGATGCAGGAAGCAAAATGCTTCACGGCAGGATATCTAAAACAAAGAGACAAAGAGAGAACAAAGGGTGCAGGAGCACAGCAGGGATGAGTCACTGTGTTATTGAATGATGTTAGGTTGGCTTGCTGACCACTAAGCGGTTATTGATAATAAGGAGTAGCCATAAATTTGAAACTTCCTTCATTGTTTGATGGGCCCCCGATCAATGAGGTTGGCTTGCTGACCGTTAATTAGGTGGTTCATAATATCATCATGAGTCAAAGCAGTCTCCCAAATAAATGTAGCTCAAAACCAACAAATGACAATCATGGGTTTTAGATTCTTCAAGCAGTGTCAGCAGTGTCACAAAAATGTTTTCATTTTGTACAACTTCTCTGTCAACTGCCTAAAGACAGACATTTTGCCACTGTTTCCAATTTGCAGGAATCCATGGAAATTATTCTTCCGGCCGTTGAATCTGAAGTTTAAATCCGGCCGTTTAGAATCAAAACGCTACTTCCAAGATCTATGCCCGGGCTTTCCGCAGCGCGCGCGCGCGACCTTGCGAAGCTCGAAGTAGAGCCGTTTAGAAGCAAAACGCTACTTCCGGGATCTATGCCCGTGATTTCCGCGGCACGCGCGCGCGCGTCTCGTCTTAGACTTGGAGCTAACTAGCTGTTTAGATGCAACACGCTACTTCCGGGATCTATGCCCGCGATTTCCGCGGCGCGCGCGCGCGCGTCTAGCCGCCGTTTAGAAGCAAAACGCTAGCTGCCCGGGATTTCCGCGGCGCGCGCGCGCGCGTCTCGAAGTAGAGTCGTTTTTCAGCAAAAGGCTAGGCTACTTCCGGGATCTATGCCCGGGATTTCCGCGGCACGCGCACGCGCGCGCGCGCGTCATTGAGAAGCTCGAAGTAGTTTAAATTTAGAAAAAAAACGCTACTTCCGGGATCCATGCCCGGGATTTCCGCGGCGCACGTGCGCGCGCTGGAGAAGCTCGACTTACAGCCGTTTAGAAGCAAAACGCTACTTCCGGGATCTATACCCGGGATTTCCGCGGTGCGCGCGCGCGCGAACGTCCAGAAGCAGCGCTTAGAAGCAAAACGCTACTTCCGGGATCTATGCCCGGGAGTTCCGCGGCACGCGCGCGCGCGCGTCGTCCTTGAGCAGAAGCTCGAACTAGAGCCGTTTAGAAGCAAAACGTTACTTCCGGGATCTATGCCCGGGAATTCCGCAGCGCGCGCGCGCACGAAGCTCGAAGTTAGAGCGGTTACGAATGCAAAACGCTACTTCCGGGATCTATGCCCGGGATTTCCGCGGCGCGCGCGCGCGTCGAGAAGCATCATCATCGCTTAGAATCCTTCCGGGATCTACTATGCCCGGGATTTCCGCTTGAGAAAAGTAGAGAGTCTAGAAGCAAAACGCTACTTCCGGGATCTATGCCCGGGATTTCCGCGGCAAGCGCGCGCGCGTCCTTGAGAATCAGAAGCTCGAAGTAATGTAGAGCCCTTTAGAAACGCTACTTCCGGGATCTATGCCCGGGATTTCTGCGGCGCGCGCGCGCGTCCGTGAGAAGCTCAAAGTATGCAGCCGCTTAGAAGCAAAACGACGAATGCAGCCGTTCCTGAATCAAAACGCGACTTTCAATAATTTATTATTTTTTAACTTCGGAATTTAATTTGGCGGTTTTGACCCGCAGGGATTGAATAATGATGGTTGCAACCGGCTTGCCATAAACGCAGCCATCATAACTATTTTGAGGCCGGCTTGCCGGGCATCTTCTTTAAAACAGTCAGTCGGTTGTCAGGCAAATTTATTCAAAGATCATTTAAAAATTATGTGAAATGAAAATTCTACTGACAAACGATCATTCACTTAGCGCTGCAGCCGCTCACACTTCGGGCAACAGACACGAAAAGCGACAGGCAAGTTCACGGCAGGCTTTCAATGGCAATGATGGTCACTGTAGTAATAATTAATTTAGTAGGACCTATCAGGAAACATGAGACTGTCGTCAGCCACGGTCAACCAATGATGGCAAACAAATATCAACTCTGCATCAGGATTCAATCTTGGCACAAAAGACATCATCATCAAACAAACAATAAAATTCACCTTTTCTTTTCACCACTGGCATCATGGCTGACCATAACAGTCCGCCAGTAAGTCCAGTTAGCAGCGATGGCAGCGGCAACCAGACGTTCTTCAGCGCTGCGCATGACCTGCGACTACGGCTGGAAGACATGGCTCACGTCGTGGACAACCCGGAGGTGGCAACTGCTGCAGGAGATGAGACTGTCGACATGGCAAGCATGGTCGAAGTCGACATCGATGATGACAGACCAGTCAAGGCGGGTCTGTTGATTTCACGAACGGGCAAGTTTTCATCATGATGCTGATTCTGATGGCTGTTGTTGATTCACTATTTAATAAATTCTTGAAACACACCCGCTGCAGGTCGAAAAGGACGAATCCGAAGCAGTCACGCCATCCGGGAGTCTTCCAGAGAAAGAGAAAGAGGCCGAACCGGTCCCGGAGGTGACACCTTCAAATCCAAGGCTACTTGAAAAGTTGGCCCAGGAGAACATGCAGTTGCGGGCGGAGCTGGAGGCTCAGAGGAGTGAGACCCTCCGTGTCTCACTGGCTATGGCGTTGGGCCCCCACGTCAGCCAGGCTCCACCGCCGCCACCTCCGCCACCACCTCCACCACGACCTCCGCTGGCAACGCCAGGCGGGCTGGCTTCCGCCTCCTCCGGGGCTTCCGCCTCCTCTGGCCTGATGAGGGCACGGCCGAAGGTGCAGTCAGGAAACTGGCCATCCGACAACGAAAACGTCGCGAAGTACAAGCGGCAGGATGTTTCACCTGAAACCCGGGTCCGCATGGACATTAAAAATGAAAAGAAGAAGAGGAAGAGGGAGGAAAAAAGAGCTGGCTTGAAACTTGCTAGGATTATAATGAGGTTGGCTTGCTGACCTTTGAAAAGTTTTTCCTGGGGGAAAATGGTACCCCTATATTCAAAATTGAAACAACCCATCGTCTCTCACAATTTGGTGTTCCCTGAACCATGAGGTTGGCTTGCTGACCGCTGCGGAGATTAACTAATTAATAATAATTAAATTAGCTACTCGTCTATTGGTCCCTGAATAGTGAGGTTGGCTTGCTGACCAGGAAAGGGTTTAACCACGATAAATTGACCCTGAATAGGTAATGGGGTCAATGAGGGAATCGTAAGTCTATTCATCTCTTCACCGTTGACTAATTTAAATTAATGAGGTTGACTGGCTGACCGCTGAATGTTTTAAATTGGCCCCCGAGTAATGAGGTTGGTTTGCTGACCGCTAAAAAGGGAATTTGCCAATTATTATTGGCCTGGCCTATTGGTCCAGCCCTGAACACAATGCAGGCTGGCTTGCTGACCTCCAAGGGTGTTGTTGTAATGTTACTTTTACCATCATTCATCTAACGATCTGATTTTTGATGCAATAATGACTGGCATGGTCCGAACTTTGAGTTTTTGAAGGCTTGACGGCATTCCTGCTCGTCTGTAATGCATTATATTATTTAAAAGGTTCGAAGGAACGTTTCCGGTGCTTTCAGCCATGGCCAAACAAAGGCCCAGAGACCAAGCAGAGCCAAGAACAGATGCCAAGAACAAGAATTCTGAGAGGTCTGGGACATCAAACTGGGCAGCTTTGAAGGTCAAAAAATCTGGGAAATCAAATTGGCCAAAGGCTAAGGCCTTTCCACATCGCGTCATCATGGACAACGTTGTCAGGCTGAATCATGAGCCGCCAATTAAAAGGGCCACCAGAGGGACACAAACCACTATTGCCGGAATACATTCAAAGCTCACGGTTGCCGTGGAAGAAGGACAGGACCAGGTAATTAATTAGTAATTTATTAATTTTTTGATCTGCCATTTGTGACTCCCGCGGCCACCTCCCCCGCGTCTATAATTATTAAATGTCGTTTACACCGGGCCCCGGGATCTAATATCCCCTAATTTCCGACTCCCTCAGTGGGTGACAGGGTCCAGGTCCAGTCCAGCAGCGTTCCAGGATCTGTGCCCGAGATTTTCCAGATCTGGACCCGTTATAATAATTTGATTATGCTTCCTCCATCTTCCTGCTGCCCCTGGAGGAAGCAGTCAGTCCTGAGCAGCGCGATCCTTCTGCGTGGTGCCATTTTATTATACCAGGAGGCTGCGAGCATACCACTGAGCACTCCTCTGAGTCTGAGTCTTGGACCCGTACTCAGAAGGACGACCAGATAAAATGGCAAGACGACGAATGCAGCAGCAGTTAGACATTTGAATAATAAGTTCAGTGTGAGTCTGAGTCAGCATGCCGGGCTGCATGGAAAAAAACGCAAGAATCACTGAACTGAACAATGTCAATCGTTTCTGGGTCTGAAGCTGGCTTGCCGGCTTTCTTAAAAGTCGGGCTGGCTTGCCGGCCTTTTTTTTTTGTGATGCCGAGACCGATTTTTAAACCGACCGTTTGGCTCTAACCATCATCAGAATCAGGTGAACTGTCCAATGCGGCAGACAGATGGCTGTTCGGCTCACCCGACAAGGTTTTTTTATTTTCTTGGAAGCTGCTAAACCCTTGGGCGATTCGTTCGTGGCGGACTTGACGGTGCTCCGGGACACCGCGCTTCGCTTCAAAGACCTAGAAGCATGTGAGGGGAAAAAGCGGGCGCTTCAGTCTTTCATTGATTGGATGGGAACGGCTAGCACCTGCCTTTCTTCGCCTGAAGAGTCTTGGGAGAAGTTTTTCAAAGAATGCGATGGAAGGCCGCTTCCGAAGGCACCACCTGCGACGTTTGTCCAATGTCAAACGTCTTGCTGCATTGATGGCTGCTTTGAAGACCGTGTGCGTCAACATTATGAGATGCAGACTGGTGATGGCCGTATTTCTTTGATGCCTGCTCTTTGGAAGTTGTATACTGATATGGTGGCAGCGGTACAGGTTTTGGACTATGATGTGTTTCACAGCCATGATCATGGCGTGGGCGCCCTTTGTCAGGACGTGAAAATGGTCCTGAAAGATGGCATTGTGCTTTTGGATGGCATCTACAACTTCAAAATTGATTTGTGATGTCCTCATGACATGCAGCCAGCTGCTAACGTCAAGCTCCAGGATGATGAGAGCCGCACAGGGAAAAAATAATTGTCCATCATCATGACAAGCAAGTGTCGGGCCATCCGTGACAAACAAGTCAACCCCAACAGAAATAATAAATAGTGCCCAAAACAAGAAAAACCGAAACAGTAAGAAGTATCCACAATAAAGATACAAGGCGTCAAGATGACAGTCGCTTAGTATTAGAAGAATAGTAGATTAGACGATATAATAGTCAGGCTGGCTTGCCGGCTGTCATGTTCTCGGGGGCAGTGTCTGGCTTATGCTAGCTGTTTTTTTCGGATGAGGCCGGCTTGCCGGCCATAGGCCTTTGTTGAGGGTTCAGGTTGGCTTGCTGACCTCTGTTCCAAAATAATAATAGCAGCCACTGGTACAGAAAAATATCTCAGATGCAGTTAATTGCTGTGATAATCATTATACACCGGTTTCATGCGTTCAGTTCAATCATTTCCTGCTACTGCTGGGTTGTAAATGTTCTTGATTTGAAAATGTAGCAAAAGGCAGAACACTTGGGAAGAAATGCAGCAGGCAAATTTCAAATTGGTCCGTCCAGTCAGCAATCAGGCTTGCAATGAATCATATTAGGTTCACTGTCAGTGCCAGACTGTAGTCAATCATGATGGCAATTTACTTGCAGAGAGTGAAGCTCGAAGTAGACTCGTTTAGAAGCAAAACGCTACTTCCGGGATCTATTCCCGGGATGTCCGCGGCGCGCACGCGCGCGTGGCCTTGAGAAGCTCGAAGTAGAGCCGTTTAGAAGCAAAACGCTACTTCCGGGATCTATGCCCAAGATTTCCGCGGCGCGCGCGCGCGCGTCTCGAATAACGCCGTTTAGAAGCAAAACGCTACTTCCGGGATCTATGCCCGGGATTTCCGCAGCGCGCGCGCGTCCTGGAGAAGCTCGAAGTAGAGCCGTTTAGAAGCAAAACGCTACTTCCGGGATCTATGCCCGGGATTTGCGCGGCGCGCGCGCGCGCGTCCGTGAAAAGCTCGAAGTAGAGCCGTTTAGAAGCAAAACGCTACTTCCGGGATCTATGCCCGGGATTTCCGCAGCGCGCGCGTGTCTGGAGAAGCTCGAAGTAGAGCCGTTTAGAAGCAAAACGCTACTTCCGGGATCTATGCCCGGGATTTCCGCAGCGCGCGCGCGCGCGTCCTGGAGAAGCTCGAAGTAGAGCCGTTTAGAAGCAAAACGCTACTTCCGGGATCTATGCCCGGGATTTCCGCAGCGCGCGCGCGCGTCCTGGAGAAGCTCGAAGTAGAGCCGTTTAGAAGCAAAACGCTACTTCCGGGATCTATGCCCGGGATTTCCGCGGCGCGCGCGCGCGCGTCCGTGAAAAGCTCGAAGTAGAGCCGTTTAGAAGCAAAACGCCAATTCCGGGATCTATGCCCGGGATTTCCGCGGCGCGCGCGCGCGCGTCCTGGAGAAGCTCGAAGTAGAGCCGTTTAGAAGCAAAACGCTACTTCCGGGATCTATGCCGGGGATTTCCGCGGCGCGCGCGCGCGCGTCCGTGAAAAGCTCGAAGTAGAGCCGTTTAGAAGCAAAACGCTACTTCCGGGATCTATGACCGGGATTTCCGCAGCGCGCGCGCGCGCGTCCTGGAGAAGCTCGAAGTAGAGCCGTTTAGAAGCAAAACGCTACTTCCGGGATCTATGCCCGGGATTTCCGCAGCGCGCGCGCGCGCGCGCGTCCTGCAGAAGCTCGAAGTAGAGCCGTTTAGAAGCAAAACGCTACTTCCGGGATCTATGCCCGGGATTTCCGCGGCGCGCGCGCGCACGTCCGTGAAAAGCTCGAAGTAGAGAAGCAAAACGACGAACGCAGCCGTTCCTGAATCAAAACGCTACTTTAAAATAATTTAATATTTTTTTAACGTCGGAATTTAATTTGGCGGTTTTGATTGAATAATAATGATGGTTGCAACCGGCTTGCCATGAGCGCATCCATAACTATTTTGAGGCCGGCTTGCCGGGCATCTTCTTTCAAACAGTCAGTCAGTTGTCAGGCAAAGATCATTTAAAAATTATGTGAAATGAAAATTCTACTGACAAACGATCATTCACTTAGCGCTGCAGCCGCTCACTGACAGCTTCGGGCAACAGACACGAAAAGTGACAGGCAAGTTCACGGCAGGCTTTCAATGGCAATGATGGTCAAGTGTAGTAATAATTTAGTAGAACCTATCAGAAACATGAGACTGTCGTCAGCCACGGTCAACCATCATTAATGATGGCAAACAAATATCAACTCTGCATCAGGATTCAATCTTGGCACAAAAGACATCATCATCAAACAAACAATAAAAATCACCTTTTCTTGTCTTCACCCCTGGCATCATGGCTGACCATAACAGTCCGCCAGTAAGTCCAGTTAGCAGCGATGGCAGCGGCAACCAGACGTTCGTCAGCGCTGCGCATGACCTGCGACTACGGCTGGAAGACATGGCTCACGTCGTGGACAACCCGGAGGTGGCAACTGCTGCAGGAGATGAGACTGTCGACATGGCAAGCATGGTCGAAGTCGACGTCGATGACGGACCAGTCAAGGCGGGTCGGTTGCTTTCACGAACGGGTTTTCATCATGATGCTGATTCTGATGGCTGTTGTTGATTCACTATTTAATAATGATATGGTGGCAGCGGTAACGCTTTGACTATGATGTGTTTCACAGCCATGATAATGGCATGGGTGCCAGTGCCTTTTGTCAGGATGTCAGAATGGTCCTGAA